GAACGAACGCGGAACGAACTGCTGCGAAATGAAAACAAGGAAAAGTAGGCAGCACGCCGACGATGCGCACCAAAAGGAAGAAGCCCCACGACGAAGAAAAGCGTGAGGTAAGGGTAATTTATGGCCCCGAATGTCGGAAAATCGTGGAAAAAGGGGGTGTGGTCTTTATTTTGTGGGCTACATCGGGGTAAACGGGGGCGGCCGTTATTTTGGGGTCGAATTAGTCGGGAATTCGAGGGGGCAAAAGTGGCCGTTAATTTGGGGTTGAATTTTAGTCGGAAAAAGGGGGCGCAGTCTGTAATTTGTCGGCTAAATGGGGTTCAACGAGGGTGGCCGTTATTTTGGGGTCGAATTAGTCGGGAATTCGAGGGGGCAAAGGTGGCCGTTGATTGGGGTTTGAATTTAATTGGAAAAAGGGGGCGTGGTCTGTAATTTGTCGGCCAAATGGGGGTCAACGAGGGTGGCCGTTAATTTGGGGTCGAATTAGTCATGAATTCGATGGGGCTTAAATGTTTTAATTAAAAAATATTAATTCATTTGTATTTGTATTTTCAGCGCATTCGTACCATTTCCTCCGAAGGTAGCCCCCTTTCATTATATCGGAATGTACACTGCTCTCCCCCTGGAGCACATCCAGCTCTTTTCAAGCCACTCAACGATTCTGCTTGGTGCCTGCTGGCTATGAGAGGTAAGAACTCAATTTAAAAACATATTAAATTTTTATTTTAAAATTAATTCATTTTTTCATCCCGTTCAGTCTCGACTTCAAACCAGGGTTTGTGCCAGAGGCTCACCTGGAGCACATCCAGCATTTTTAAAGCATTCATAGTTTCTCCATGGTGCCTGCAACTAATAAAAGGTAAGAACTCTTTTTAAAACATCATAGAATTTTTATTTTAAAATTAATTCATTTTTTCAGCCCATTTAAATTCTCAAATATAAGAAAAATTATTTTTATTTATATTAATGAAGTATTAATTAAATAATATTGATTTTATGTATAAAATATCTATAAAATTAATCCCGTTTTTCAAAATTTTATAAATCTAAAATTTAATTAAATTAAAATAATTTTATTTATAAATTACATTTCATTTTTTGGAAATTTTAAAAAATTAAAAATAACCAGCTGGTGCATTCACCAACTGAATTCAAGAGCAGGTGACAATTATTTTTTTTTAATTCTCAAAAATAAAAAAAATTTCATTAATACTAATTTTATTTATAAAATATTTCTAAAATTAATCCTTTTTTTATTTTTAAAAAATTAATTTTAATTAATTTACAATAATTTTATTTGTAAATTATATTTCATTTTTTAAAAATTTTAGAAAAATAAAAAAAACATCACCAGCTGGCGCAAATTTTTTTTAAAAAATTTTCAAATTTAAAAAAATTAGAATTAAATTAATGAATATTAATTTTATTTCTAAAATATTTATAAAATTTATCCCTTTTTTCAAATTTTTTTTAAATTTATAATTTAATATAATGAAAATAAATTAACTATAAATTAAATTATATTTTTTTTTTTTTATAAATTTAATTGAAGTCATTAATATTAATTTTACTTATTAAATTTTTATAAAATTAATCCCTTTTTTTAAAAATTAAAATTTATATATTTTAAAATAATTTTATTGATAAAATATATTTCATTTTTTAAAATTTTAAAAAAATAAAAAAACATCACCTGCTGGTGTATTTAGCTGGTGAATTCACCACCTTAATTCACCAGCTTAATTCACCAGCTAAATTCAGCTGGTTAATTGAGCTGGTGAATTCACCAGCTGGTGACTATAATTTTTTTTTAATTTTTTAATTAAAAAAAATTAATTTAATTAATTATTTTTAAGTTTATGTATATAATATTTATGATATTAATCCCTTTTATTGTTTTTTAACAATTAAAATTTAATTAATTTAAATAAATTTAACTTATAAATAATATTTCATTTTTTAATAATTAAAAAAAAAACCTCATCAGCTTGTGAATTGAGCCTGTGAATTCACCAGCTGGTGACACTTATTTTTTTTTTAAATTTCAAATTAAAAATTAAAAGTAAATTAATTTATTTATAAATTAAATTTCAATTTTTAATAATTTTGAAAAATAAAAAAAAACCTCATCGGCTGGTGAATTGAGCTAGTGAATTAACCAAATGAATTAACCAGCTTAATTCACCAGCTGGTGAATTGAGCTGGTAAATTAGATTAGATCAAAATTTATTGCATTAGACATATGTAATACATCACCAATTTGTCTTTACAACAAGTCAATAAAATAGCATAATAAAACCTCCAAAAAATTTTAACTATAACATTCAATAAGTGAGTAATTGAGGGAGCGATTGAGGGAGCTCGCACGCCATTGATAATTTGGCGGGGGTGGGCAAGCATTTGACTATCCCACCTCAAATACTGCAGGGGAAAACCACCCCCGAAAACCCTGCAGCTGAGTCTCACTCTTCCAAATTTAGGCATTCAAATTTACATGTCCAATATTCATTCATCATATCATAGTATTGACACTTCAGCATTACAAATTTGACACTTTTAACAAAGTTGCCATAGTCCTAAACCCATACCCCCTAAACCCAGATTAACGTAGATGGCTCATTCCTTTTCACATTAATTTTATATTTATTTTTGATTAAATTACTGGGTGACCTTCAAATCTTCCTTCCTTGCCTTCTCTCTCTTCCTGACAAACATCCTCAATCCCTTACAAAATTTCAAGGGGTGCCTTGGCCTGTTTGTCCCACTCGGCTCGTCGTCCACCTTTTTCTCCTTCGCTCGTCTCCTGTTTGAATCGCTTTTAATTATTATTTTTTTAATAGGTGACGTTCCTCTGGCCCTTCTTTGGTCTTTCAGCAAGCCATGCAAGCCCACCGAGCAGCAACATCATTTGCAAAGCGTGCCTCACTTTCAATCCACCCTCAACAACCCACGCACATCGAGTAAAGCAGCCGGCTTAATATTTTTGTAAGTAAATTTTATATTTATTTTCTATTTAAATTCTAAGTGACCTTCAACTCTCCCATCTATGCCTTCTCTCTCTTCCTGACCAACATCCTCAATCCCTTACAAAATTTCAAGGGGTGCCTTGGCCTGTTTGTCCCACTCGGCTCGTCGTCCACCTTTTTCTCCTTCGCTCGTCTCCTGTTTGAATCGCTTTTAATTATTATTTTTTTAATAGGTGACGTTCCTCTGGCCCTTCTTTGGTCTTTCAGCAAGCCATGCAAGCCCACCGAGCAGCAACATCATTTGCAAGGCGTGCCTCACTTTCAATCCACCCTCAACAACCCACGCACATCGAGTAAAGCAGCCGGCTTAATATTTTTGTAAGTAAATTTTATATTTATTTTCTATTTAATTTCTAAGTGACCTTCAACTCTCCCATCTTTGCCTTCTCTCTCTTCCTGACCAACATCCTCAATCCCTTACAAAATTTCAAGGGGTGCCTTGGCCTTTTTGACCCTCAAGGCGCTACGTCCGTTATTTACGCTTTAGCATGAACTATGCTGAAATCACTTTTAATTTTTATTTTTTTAATAGGTGACGTTCCTCTCGCGCTTCCTTGACATTTCACCAATCCTTGCATGCCCACGCACCAGCCCCATCATTTTCAAAGCATGCCTTGCACTAATTCCACCCTCATCCACCCCCTAAACCCAGATTAACGTAGATGGCTCATTCCTTTTCACATTAATTTTAGATTTATTTGTGATTAAATTACTGGGTGACCTTCAAATCTTCCTTCCTTGCCTTGTCTCTCTTCCTGACCAACATCCTCAATCCCTTACAAAATTTCAAGGGGTGCCTTGGCCTGTTTGTCCCACTCGGCTCGTCGTCCACCTTTTTCTCCTTCGCTCGTCTCCTGTTTGAATCGCTTTTAATTATTATATTTTTAACAGGTGACGTTCCTCTGGCCCTTCTTTGGTCTTTCAGCAAGCCATGCAAGCCCACCGAGCAGCAACATCATTTGCTAAGCGTGCCTCACTTTCAATCCACCCTCAACAACCCACGCACATCGAGTAAAGCAGCCGTCTTAATATTTTTGTAAGTAAATTTTATATTTATTTTCTATTTAATTTCTAAGTGACCTTCAACTCTCCCATCTTTGCCTTCTCTCTCTTCCTGACCAACATCCTCAATCCCGTACAAAATTTCAAGGGGTGCCTTGGCCTGTTTGTCCCACTCGGCTCGTCGTCCACCTTTTTCTCCTTCGCTCGTCTCCTGTTTGAATCACTTTTAATTATTATTTTTTTAACAGGTGACGTTCCTCTGGCCCTTCTTTGGTCTTTCAGCAAGCCATGCAAGCCCACTGAGCTGCAACATCATTTGCTAAGCGTGCCTCACTTTCAATCCACCCTCAACAACCCACGCACATCGAGTAAAGCAGCCGGCTTAATATTTTTGTAAGTAAATTTTATATTTATTTTCTATTTAATTTCTAAGTGACCTTCAACTCTCCCATCTTTGCCTTCTCTCTCTTCCTGACCAACATCCTCAATCCCTTACAAAATTTCAAGGGGTGCCTTGGCCTTTTTGACCCTCAAGGCGCTACGTCCGTTATTTACGCTTTAGCATGAACTATGCTGAAATCACTTTTAATTTTTATTTTTTTAATAGGTGACGTTCCTCTCGCGCTTCCTTGACATTTCACCAATCCTTGCATGCCCACGCACCAGCCCCATCATTTTCAAAGCATGCCTTGCACTAATTCCACCCTCATCCACCCCCTAAACCCAGATTAACGTAGATGGCTCATTCCTTTTCACATTAATTTTAGATTTATTTGTGATTAAATTACTGGGTGACCTTCAAATCTTCCTTCCTTGCCTTGTCTCTCTTCCTGACCAACATCCTCAATCCCTTACAAAATTTCAAGGGGTCCCTTGGCCTGTTTGTCCCACTCGGCTCGTCGTCCACCTTTTTCTCCTTCGCTCGTCTCCTGTTTAAATCACTTTTAATTATTATATTTTTAACAGGTGACGTTCCTCTGGCCCTTCTTTGGTCTTTCAGCAAGCCATGCAAGCCCACCGAGCAGCAACATCATTTGCTAAGCGTGCCTCACTTTCAATCCACCCTCAACAACCCACGCACATCGAGTAAAGCAGCCGTCTTAATATTTTTGTAAGTAAATTTTATATTTATTTTCTATTTAATTTCTAAGTGACCTTCAACTCTCCCATCTTTGCCTTCTCTCTCTTCCTGACCAACATCCTCAATCCCTTACAAAATTTCAAGGGGTGCCTTGGCCTTTTTGACCCTCAAGGCGCTACGTCCGTTATTTACGCTTTAGCATGAACTATGCTGAAATCACTTTTAATTTTTATTTTTTTAATAGGTGACGTTCCTCTCGCGCTTCCTTGACGTTTCACCAATCCTTGCATGCCCACGCACCAGCCCCATCATTTTCAAAGCATGCCTTGCACTAATTCCACCCTCATCCACCCCCTAAACCCAGATTAACGTAGATGGCTCATTCCTTTTCACATTAATTTTAGATTTATTTGTGATTAAATTACTGGGGTACCTTCAAATCTTCCTTCCTTGCCTTCTCTCTCTTCCTGACCAACATCCTCAATCCCTTACAAAATTTCAAGGGGTGCCTTGGCCTGTTTGTCCCACTCGGCTCGTCGTCCACCTTTTTCTCCTTCGCTCGTCTCCTGTTTGAATCGCTTTTAATTATTATATTTTTAACAGGTGACGTTCCTCTGGCCCTTCTTTGGTCTTTCAGCAAGCCATGCAAGCCCACCGAGCAGCAACATCATTTGCTAAGCGTGCCTCACTTTCAATCCACCCTCAACAACCCACGCACATCGAGTAAAGCAGCCGTCTTAATATTTTTGTAAGTAAATTTTATATTTATTTTCTATTTAATTTCTAAGTGACCTTCAACTCTCCCATCTTTGCCTTCTCTCTCTTCCTGACCAACATCCTCAATCCCGTACAAAATTTCAAGGGGTGCCTTGGCCTGTTTGTCCCACTCGGCTCGTCGTCCACCTTTTTCTCCTTCGCTCGTCTCCTGTTTGAATCACTTTTAATTATTATTTTTTTAACAGGTGACGTTCCTCTGGCCCTTCTTTGGTCTTTCAGCAAGCCATGCAAGCCCACTGAGCAGCAACATCATTTGCTAAGCGTGCCTCACTTTCAATCCACCCTCAACAACCCACGCACATCGAGTAAAGCAGCCGGCTTAATATTTTTGTAAGTAAATTTTATATTTATTTTCTATTTAATTTCTAAGTGACCTTCAACTCTCCCATCTTTGCCTTCTCTCTCTTCCTGACCAACATCCTCAATCCCTTACAAAATTTCAAGGGGTGCCTTGGCTTGTTTGTCCCACTCGGCTCGTCGTCCACCTTTTTCTCCTTCGCTCGTCTCCTGTTTGAATCACTTTTAATTATTATTTTTTTAACAGGTGACGTTCCTCTGGCCCTTCTTTGGTCTTTCAGCAAGCCATGCAAGCCCACCGAGCAGCAACATCATTTGCAAAGCGTGCCTAACTTTCAATCCACCCTCAACAACCCACGCACATCGAGTAAAGCAGCCGGCTTAATATTTTTGTAAGTAAATTTTATATTTATTTTCTATTTAATTTCTAAGTGACCTTCAACTCTCCCATCAATTTCAATTTCAATTTCAAATATTCTTTATTTTGTTAAGCATTAATTTGCAGTAGCAATAATACTTTTTAAAATGAGTCAAGATACAGAGCATTGTTCAAACGATAAAACTCGTTTAAGTCATAGAATTGGTGTTGAAGTACAAAAGTTTTCACTTCCTTCACAAGTTCCTCGTCATTTTCGAGGTTTTTCAGATTCTTTGGCAGCGCATTAAAAATTTTTGGAATCATATAATTAGGGTTTTCTACAGACTTTTTGAGAGCAATATCCCTTACTACTAGGTCATTTATACACAGATTGGTTTGATTATGTCGTGTCACCCGCCTCATGTCGACACTATCACTATATTTTTGGAAGAGGTGACGATTCCGCACTAGAAATTTAATACATTCAAGTATATATAGAGAAGGCACAGTCATAATATTATATTTTATAAATAATGGTTTACATGTATCTAGGGCTTCGTTTGATCTCCAATATGGGACACCCGCCATTGCTCTCAAGGCTCTTTTTTGTGCTCGAAATACATTAATCAAATGACAAGAGCCCCCCCAAATCACAATTCCGTACATTATATGACTTTGTACATGAGCATAATATATTAATTTCAGGATATCATCAGACACTTTATATTTCAATCTTGTAAATACATGTGTAACACTTCGAAGTTGATTTACAACTTTATCACATTGATCTATCCAGTTTAAGGTATCAGTTATTTGGATTCCCAATAATCTACCAGTCTTTGAGATTTCTACTTTTTGGTCGTGAATATTCACTTCAGGTTGGATAAGGTTTCTACTTTGGCTTGTATGTATTTGCAGAATTTTAGTCTTTTTAGAATTGATTCTAAGAAAGTTGTCCCTTGCGAAACCGACAAAGCTTTCGTTAACGGCCACTGTTTTCGAATTCACCTCAGTTGAAGAAACACCTTTAACAATTGCTGTAGAGTCGTCAGCAAATAAGATTATTAGAGCCAGGAGAACAACAAGGGCAATATCATTCAAGTATGTGGTAAAACCGATTGGACCGAGGACTGTGCCTTGAGGCACTCCCATACTACTCTCTATTACATCTGAATTTATAAGTTCTTCATATCGGTCACAAGATAAATTTTTAAGCTGCACATATTGTTTTCTATTTGTCAAAAAGCATTCCAGCCATGATAGCAAATTTTTATGTAAGCCGTATGATTTAAGTTTGTGCACAAGAAGGGGAGGGTAAAGTGTTCCAAACGCATTTGAGAAGTCATACAATATAACATTAACCTTCTCCCTGGCTTCAAAAGATTCATACAAAGATGTCACATAACTATATAGGGCGGTCACTGTACTTTTTCCTTTTCTAAATCCATGTTGCTCAGGGATTAAGATATTATTTACGTTAAAGTGAGTATCTAGTCTATGTAAAAAGGCTTTTTCATACACTTTAGAGACTGCTGAAGTTATAGCTATAGGTCTATAGTTAGAGGGGTCGTCCTTTTCACCTTTCTTAAACAGAGGAATAATTTTGGCTAGTTTCATGTTGTCAGGAAATTTCCCTTGTAAAAATGATTCATTAATAAGATGAGTGAGCGGGGCGGTGATGTAAATTGAAATTTTTCTTAAGACACTAGTTGAAATACCGTCCCATCCAGATGAGCATTTTGATGGAAGTTGATTAATTATACTGTAAATCTCAAATTCTTCCATAAACTGCAGGCTTTGAGCCGTAATATTGATATCGTCTATTAGTTTTGAGCAGTCATCTAAATTTATATTACTCATATCTGGCTCCATTTCAACAAACTTATTATTCAGGTGGTTGGCAATATTAAGTTTAATTGACTCATTAACACCATCAATATTCAACACATCAATTAAATCAACATTTTTTTCATTACCCGTTTGTGAATTAATTAATTTCCAGGCTGCACTAGATTTATTATGGGCCCTTGATATTTTTCTGTCATTTTGAAATTTTGTTTCTTTTTGAATATTATCAACGACTTTCTTCTTAATACCTTTTAATTTTGACTTCATGTCTAATGTTTTGTTTTGATCTAAGTTCAATTTAATTTCTTTGCTAAGTTCAATCATATCTTTTTGTAATTTTCTTGTTTCCCCAGTCAATTTAATTTTACCCTTTGCCTTCTCTCTCTTCCTGACCAACATCCTCAATCCCTTACAAAATTTCAAGGGGTGCCTTGGCCTTTTTGACCCTCAAGGCGCTACGTCCGTTATTTACGCTTTAGCATGAACTATGCTGAAATCACTTTTAATTTTTATTTTTTTAATAGGTGACGTTCCTCTCGCGCTTCCTTGACGTTTCACCAATCCTTGCATGCCCACGCACCAGCCCCATCATTTTCAAAGCATGCCTTGCACTAATTCCACCCTCATCCACCCCCTAAACCCAGATTAACGTAGATGGCTCATTCCTTTTCACATTAATTTTAGATTTATTTGTGATTAAATTACTGGGTGACCTTCAAATCTTCCTTCCTTGCCTTCTCTCTCTTCCTGACAAACGTCCTCAATCCCTTACAAAATTTCAAGGGGTGCCTTGGCCTGTTTGTCCCACTCGGCTCGTCGTCCACCTTTTTCTCCTTCGCTCGTCTCCTGTTTGAATCGCTTTTAATTATTATTTTTTTAATAGGTGACGTTCCTCTGGCCCTTCTTTGGTCTTTCAGCAAGCCATGCAAGCCCACCGAGCAGCAACATCATTTGCAAAGCGTGCCTCACTTTCAATCCACCCTCAACAACCCACGCACATCGAGTAAAGCAGCCGGCTTAATATTTTTGTAAGTAAATTTTATATTTATTTTCTATTTAATTTCTAAGTGACCTTCAACTCTCCCATCTTTGCCTTCTCTCTCTTCCTGACCAACATCCTCAATCCCTTACAAAATTTCAAGGGGTGCCTTGGCCTTTTTGACCCTCAAGGCGCTACGTCCGTTATTTACGCTTTAGCATGAACTATGCTGAAATCACTTTTAATTTTTATTTTTTTAATAGGTGACGTTCCTCTCGCGCTTCCTTGACATTTCACCAATCCTTGCATACCCACGCACCAGCCCCATCATTTTCAAAGCATGCCTTGCACTAATTCCACCCTCATCCACCCCCTAAACCCAGATTAACGTAGATGGCTCATTCCTTTTCACATTAATTTTAGATTTATTTGTGATTAAATTACTGGGTGACCTTCAAATCTTCCTTCCTTGCCTTCTCTCTCTTCCTGACAAACATCCTCAATCCCTTACAAAATTTCAAGAAGTGCCTTGGCCTGTTTGTCCCACTCGGCTCGTCGTCCACCTTTTTCTCCTTCGCTCGTCTCCTGTTTGAATCGCTTTTAATTATTATTTTTTTAATAGGTGACGTTCCTCTGGCCCTTCTTTGGTCTTTCAGCAAGCCATGCAAGCCCACCGAGCAGCAACATCATTTGCAAAGCGTGCCTCACTTTCAATCCACCCTCAACAACCCACGCACATCGAGTAAAGCAGCCGGCTTAATATTTTTGTAAGTAAATTTTATATTTATTTTCTATTTAAATTCTAAGTGACCTTCAACTCTCCCATCTATGCCTTCTCTCTCTTCCTGACCAACATCCTCAATCCCTTACAAAATTTCAAGGGGTGCCTTGGCCTGTTTGTCCCACTCGGCTCGTCGTCCACCTTTTTCTCCTTCGCTCGTCTCCTGTTTGAATCGCTTTTAATTATTATTTTTTTAATAGGTGACGTTCCTCTGGCCCTTCTTTGGTCTTTCAGCAAGCCATGCAAGCCCACCGAGCAGCAACATCATTTGCAAGGCGTGCCTCACTTTCAATCCACCCTCAACAACCCACGCACATCGAGTAAAGCAGCCGGCTTAATATTTTTGTAAGTAAATTTTATATTTATTTTCTATTTAATTTCTAAGTGACCTTCAACTCTCCCATCTTTGCCTTCTCTCTCTTCCTGACCAACATCCTCAATCCCTTACAAAATTTCAAGGGGTGCCTTGGCCTTTTTGACCCTCAAGGCGCTACGTCCGTTATTTACGCTTTAGCATGAACTATGCTGAAATCACTTTTAATTTTTATTTTTTTAATAGGTGACGTTCCTCTCGCGCTTCCTTGACATTTCACCAATCCTTGCATGCCCACGCACCAGCCCCATCATTTTCAAAGCATGCCTTGCACTAATTCCACCCTCATCCACCCCCTAAACCCAGATTAACGTAGATGGCTCATTCCTTTTCACATTAATTTTAGATTTATTTGTGATTAAATTACTGGGTGACCTTCAAATCTTCCTTCCTTGCCTTGTCTCTCTTCCTGACCAACATCCTCAATCCCTTACAAAATTTCAAGGGGTCCCTTGGCCTGTTTGTCCCACTCGGCTCGTCGTCCACCTTTTTCTCCTTCGCTCGTCTCCTGTTTAAATCACTTTTAATTATTATATTTTTAACAGGTGACGTTCCTCTGGCCCTTCTTTGGTCTTTCAGCAAGCCATGCAAGCCCACCGAGCAGCAACATCATTTGCTAAGCGTGCCTCACTTTCAATCCACCCTCAACAACCCACGCACATCGAGTAAAGCAGCCGTCTTAATATTTTTGTAAGTAAATTTTATATTTATTTTCTATTTAATTTCTAAGTG